GAAAGGGAAAACGGAGTAAATCTAAAGACTGACAAGAAAATATTAAATGTTACAGTTAAAGTACACCCTGATTAAAAACAAAACAAAACTGTAAGTGTTCAAACCAAACACAGCATTCATTATCTGTAACCACATAGACCATAACTCCTGAAATGAATAAACAGTCAGAGTATTTTTAGTAGTACTTAAATAAGTTCATAAAGATGACCCAGCCTAATGTAGTACAAAATCCTAAAGTACCTTTGGAATCATTAAGAAGCAAATTACGTTTATTGAGTTTTACTGTTAAGTATATTTCTTGTACTTTGAATATTGGTATCTCACGTTAGGAATCATGTCTTAACATGTGGCCTGCCTAAGATATACTTCAGTAAACGGACTCCATAATCAAACAAGTTTTGGGAATGTTGCACACTCTAACCACCCCTTGGAGATTCACAGTGTATTTTAGGAAATTAAATTTTCTGACAAATTCTATATGAAAGAGATTTGCCAAACTTAGTCTAAGCCAGTATTCCCCAAACTAATTTGACCATGGACCCTTTTTCATTTAATACCCGTTAACAGTCCACAAATTGCTTCATGGAACACACATGGGATACACTACAGTGTAGGGGGTGTACTGTTTAATTAATCAGAAAATGCAATTCATCCCCAACCTCCCAAGCATTCTGATGAACTGGTGTTTACTATGTGCTACAGATACAAAAATTTCCCCAACGGATTCCTGATTGGAATTCACTTTGATAAGCTAACTTACTATATTTTTAAGAAGAAACTTTTTTTAATGAACTAAAATTGGATCTTGCATGTTAATATAAAGGAGCTCAAATTCATTATATAATAATTCGATTTTGCTAAATTGCTGAAAGCTTATCTTCTCTAAACATGGATTTTTAAATTTCCGGAGTATATTAAATATCTTAATTTCAAAAGCTTCATTCCCTTAAAGAAAAAATATTGAACTAAAAAAAATGCTGGTATTTACCTCTGCCTATTACCTGATATGTCTAATTACAAATATCTAACTGAGATGTGGTACCAACATGTATAGCTCGTGAATAACAAGCATGGGACTATTGTTTCTGTGACTGTGGTGTTACTTATAATTTGACTCCTCCTCCTGAGAAAGTAACCTTAAAGCCTATATTCAAGGTTTTAAGGCATCAAATTCCAGTGACTGAAAAAGTTTTATCGTTCCGTTAACAAAAATCAAACTCAACAAACATTTATTTAGTACCTACTGTACGCATGTCACTGGATTAAGCACTGTAAATGCTGAATGTATTTTTCTGGGCCCCAGCTCAAGACAATGGGACAGAATACAGGAGACTTAGAAACTCAGGGGACCCACAGGCAGTGTGGATAGCAGAAGAGCAAGTTGGGGCACTGGGAATGCGTACCTGGGGAAATTTAGGACACCCACACTGCCACAAAAAGGCCAATAAGACACAAGGGCCTCTTTCTGTCTTTTGGCTCCTTCAGTGAACCAAAAGTTTAATACTAAAATTAATGCAAGATAACCAATATTAGATTGGGGTCAAAAACCTGAAAGCTGTTAAAGCTTCCATATTCAACTTCACCTGCGTAACACTTTTTAAAAAAGCCAATTAGGTAGCTTACTATACAAGCATTACAAGGATATTAAGATCAGCTTGGGTTAATAGTTTAAAACTACCACAGGTTTTTTCAAAGACTGTAGGAGAAGGAATCCAAATCCTGATAATCAGAATGAAGTTGAATTTTCAGACAGGGTATGAGAGGGGGAGAAATCACTTCACTATGTTACGCAACACTGAAAAAGACTTTTCAAATTTCACATAGAAAAGATATAATGACTTAAGGAATTTAAGACAGAGTAAACCAATTTCTCTCAAATTTGGGAGATTTAGCAGTCCTCAGTAAGCAAAATCAAGACAATTTTGCAAATGACTCTTTCAAAACACAGCAACAGTGAAAGGGATGATCTTCAATATGTGGCCATGTTGACAGAAATTTTTTCCCCCTAGTGTAATAACACTTAAACAAAAGCATGAATTCCAGCTCTAAAATTTCAAATCAGAGAGCCGGAGAGCTGCTGCAGTTTGTCTTCATGAATCTTTTTTTTTTTTTAAGTATTTTTCCTTTAGAAAACTTTAGCAAAGACTAAGCGCAGCAACTTTGACAAAACACAGCCAAAGGAACGGGCGCTGGACAAGACACGCGATTAAAAAAAATAATAAATTGTCTCAGTAAGATTGCTTAATGAAAAATTAACTTTGTTCTGCTGAATGCTTCAAAAACCGCGTTGCTCTGATAGTATTTTCTAATTACATACGCTTTAAGTACATGTATGCTAATAAACGTGAACCTCAAATACGTGTGCAATGAAGCAAAGCTGATGTTCCAGATTATGTTTTAATAGTCCCAAAGAAAACAGAAAACTGCAACTGCATGCTTGTGCAAACCTGAAAGAGGGAAAACACGACAGGGTGATAGGGTCCAGTACCCCGGCTTCACAGAGCCAGCCGCCCTTCCCTTTCCACGACGAGAACCAAAAGAACAAAGTTCGCACTGATTTCACGTTCGGAGGCGCGCCAGAATATCCTGCGGGTTACCCAGTACCCGCTGTTTGGTGGGGAATTGATTCAAGCGCCTCGGTCAAGTTCACAGCGGTCCCTAGTGCTCGAGACGTCGGATGCGTCCCAGGAACCGACACCAAGGTTGGGAAAGAGTCCTACCCACAACTCGACTACGCAGAGTCCCCAGGACCCGGGTCGGTCCTCCACCGGTCCCTGCCCCGGCAAGACGGTCTGCTGGCGTCCGTCAAAGTCAGCCAAAACCGGGCGAGAGGGCACCGAGGCCCGAGAGGGAGCCCCGCCTGACCCCTGCGGGAAAGCTGCCGCCCCGCGGGGCAGGAGTTTCACCGCGGACTGCAG